TCAAGTCAAATTGCATAATTCAAGCATCGCAATATGGAAATCAGACCGCTAATATCCTGGGGCTTACTGGCTGGTAACTACACTTGAGACATTAAGAAGATAAATTCTGCTAGTCCTATATTATAAAATGTACAAACATATATTACAAAACATACATTAGAACATAAATTTAGCTTCATTAGGCTACATTCTTGGCCAAATAACGTGTATAAGTGTATACTCAAGTGTATACTCATATTCACCCTACAGGCAATACCCAAGTAATAGTTGTATACGTTAAAGTGTGGAATGGATATTAATTAAAGAACGTTAACATAACCCTTCAAGACCTCTCTGAATGTGTCTTTTGTTTGGCTAAAACAGATGTTTTTAATGTAAATTAAATAGCCTAGTACAGATAGTATTATGGTAGGCTATTTAATCTCCAGGATGCTGAAATAATAATTTAGTAATCAATTGTAGAATTCATTCATTTTAACTAACATACCAACTCAGAAAAGCTGTTTAAGGGCCATTTTAACTTGGAGAATATGTTTTCCTCTTTAAATCCCATCTTCCTATATGTACCAGGGGTGAGTTTCCCGAAGCGTTCTTAACGCTACGTCGTTCTTAAATTCTGTCTTAAAAGATAGAACTAACGAACGACGTAGCGTTAAGAAGGCTTCGGGAAACTCACCCCAAAATGATACACATATCATTTATCTTGCAAAGGTGAGAGAATGTTATATGGCAGTTGTTCAGAACTATTGCAATATAGTTTATAAAAAACAGAATGAAGATGATACATATATTAATAAAACTGGCTATACTGGACAAACTGGAGCAAATGGGTTGATAACGTCTAAGTGACGTTTCTCGAAATGGTTGGTAGTGTTGAAATATTTTAAAAACCTAGAGGAAATCCACAATGAGGATATATCCATGTCAGTCCCCCAAACACATAAATACCGATTAACATTTGTCTTTCAGTGAGACGTCACGTACCCAGTAAATCATTCAGTTGCGTATACTCGATGCTTAAAAGATTTAGTTTGCAAACGATACGACGTCGTCAGTACAGCGTTCATAAATTAATGGTTTTCAATTAAATAAATAATGAAGTACAAAAGTAGCCTACATATAAATGTAAGCTAGAGTGATTGCGATGTACGTTATTAAACATTAATTTGCGCTATAACAGCATTTCTAAAGATAATCCCTGGTCTTTCGAAGATTTCTTTGCTTAAGTGATGCCTGAATGCATGCATTATTGCTTATATGCATGCATTATTGCTTAAAAGCTGCATGCAATCCTGAAAATTCACCAAGAGCCACTTGTTTGCTGAGATATTGTGGGGGGAGTAAAGTGGGGCAGCTTGTTTGATAAAGTGGGTCAATTATTTACAACTAAAGCAAAAACGTCTTGTCCAAACACAAACTGCATGCCAAGAATAGTTCCACGTTACAATGCAGCGGTAATGGCTATCATATCATTCCAGTCCATCCATACATGCGTCAATCCATCCATGCATCCATCCATTTTATACAGCCTACCCGCTAAAGTATGTTCAAACTACAATATGTACACAAATTTAAATGCAATGAGTTCAACCAGTTTCAATACAGTCCACGATTATTGCAGCATTTCAGTTTTAACTCTTTAATTTAATAAAATATTACATGTATGCAGAAACATATTGGTACACCCATGAACGCCTACGTAAATTTCTTTCTGCGATGTGAAGCATTCTTTGCAAAATAGAGGCATCATCATGAACTACATCTCCCTCACACAGATTAAAATATTGTTTAACATTGTTTATGTGCCAATTTACGTTTGGAATCTTTACGTTGTGAGTCACATCTGTCAAGTGTGTGACATAGTTCAGTGATAAAATTACTGCTTTGACCCCTTGCCACCCACGCCCCCCGATATCTACCGTGGGGGACGTATGAGGACCGATCCCCTGAAATATATTTCCAACTACGCCCCTGGTAAGAATATTTAATACTCCAATTCTCCAGAAAGAAAAACACTGCGCCGTTTTGCCCAAATTTTCTGGTTAAGTGATGCAGTAGCCATTAATCAATTAAATTAAATTAAATAATAAATCAAGCAAACAAACAAATAATAGATAGATAGATAGATAGATAGATAGATAGATAGATAGATAGATAGATAGATAGATAGATAGATAGATAAACACTTCATAATACGTGTATATACCATGCTTTACTTTTACGTAACTCTTCTTGGCAGTTGTTTAGTTGTTTAGTTACTTTTCCAAATGAAATGCCAAACAGTATGTGTTTTCACACACACACACACACACACACACACACACACACACACACACACACTACCTTGAAAGACCTACCAGAATCAATCAACTTAAGTCAGACATATAAAAACAATGTAGGGGTGGGTCAGTAACAGATTTGGGGTGAGTTTCCCGAAGCGTTCTTAACGCTACGTCGTTCTTAAATTCTGTGTTAAAAGATAGAACTAACAAACGACGTAGCGTTAAGAAGGCTTCGGGAAACTCACCCCTGGTTTTGGCTGTTTCTAACCAAAGGTTAAATGGTCAATTTAACCCAACAGCTACTTTACATAAAATCCCCTGTCGATCTTCATAAATTCCTATATATTTTTTTCTATACTCAAGACCAGATGGGCCTAAGCTTAAAGCAGAATGGAAGAAAACGTATAATGAATCTTCCATAAATATATTTGTTCCATTGCTCCGTAAGACATTTGTTTCACGTTAATTATCAGTCCGAATTTATAACATTTGACGATTTTAGTACTACAGAAACAGGTCAAAAGGTGGAACATAATGTGCTCAGTTACATCTTATTGTTTGTCATTTTACATCGGTAGTTAACTAGTTAAGTTTCCACCGGCTAAACTGTGTCATATTTTGCTACAATGGAATGGTGCATCACCGCCGGAGGAGAATCGAATACAAGCGGTGAATGAGAAACGAATCGTGATCATTGTTGAATAATACAATACTGCCTTAATTCTTGATTATTTAGGTTAAATTGTATTAAAATTGAACTGCCCAGTTGAGCCATTTCAGTAAAAGTCATCGCAACTCGTAAAATTTTTTAATATTCGTTGATTTTTGTTTATATGATGATAAATCTACTATCCTAAAACTTAATGTAATCAATTTTTAATAATTATTTTAAACGCAATATATCAATATTTTTCTAAAATTCGCACATTATAGGCTTATTATATATGGCTGTACCTTAACATGAAGAAGAAGTGAAACAAGAAATCTATTATATTACAATAAAATGCTTGCGCTGATTGTCTCTGGAGCGCGGGTATATAAGCCTAATAGAAACGCCCTACACCTGCGCGGAGCCCGCTGGTATCTTATCAATGAAGGAGGGCAGTTCGTAGTGTCTATACGAAGATTGAAAAGGCGGAAATGAACCTAACCGTCTATATTCACTTCATTTTAGAATGGAGGGTTATTCTGTCCGTAATTTAGTCGTCGCTTTTATGTGCTTTTGATACGTGTGACATGTACTAATTGACTCTTTAAATAGCGCAGACAGAGGTTTAATTCTGTGAACATTTCATATTTCTATACATTAATTATCTTGGCGCTGATTTTGCGGACCCATTTTCCTTTGCTTACCAATGCCGAGTCGATGCTTTTGTAGATCAAAGGAGGACATTTTTGCTTTATACAATAGCATTGCTTCGAAATTGTCAACAGCAGTTCATTCCGTTTGGTACGTGTATTATACCTGGTAATTTAAAAGTTTACAGAACAATTTGGGTTGAATTACTGAGTGTTGATTGTGATGACGACCATATTCAAATCGGGGAAAGCGTTTATAGGAAAACTGTATAGATGTTTTTTATATGAAAAACATGCCATGAAATATATGACATATGACATTTAAATATTAAACTAAATGTTCAGAACGAATAGTGAAAACGAAACCTATTTCTCAATGACGTAAAATACGTCGTACATGAACTTAAATGAAAGTTTGCTTTGAGTAGGGCAGAGTTATTACTCTGATTAGCAAGACTCCTATCACTGTCAGGAAAAAAGTACCAATTTGTTATTTGAGGGTACAATTACTTGTCACTGGGGCTGCACCCTCAAGGGTCTGCCATTTGTACCTTAGCTGTAGGTAAATGTACCATTTAATCTAATAGGTACAGAAATGGACTCTGAGGAACATCCGTAAGATACAATCAACATTAATCTTAATGGTACACAAACGTTTCTCATAGACCATTTCTGTATTTTAAAAGGTACAATTACCTACAGGTAGGGTACAACTGGCAGACCCTTGAAGGTACAGTCCTATAACAAGCAAAGGTACAAATTGGTACTCTTTTTTCTGACACTATACTGTCGTACAAAAGCTAGGCCTATATGATATACAGCGGGTATTGTAAAATATTTTCAAGTTTTTTTCTAGGTTTTGCTGGGGGAGGGGTAAGTTCTGTTTAGTTCTATTTTAATTTTATATTTAGACAACATAACGCTTCCCATTTCAGAAAGTCAGTGTTTTCCAACTTTCAGTACCTTTGCTATACTCTCAGAAAAATGGGTACAGCCCAGGTACAGGTTTGTTCCCCAAGGTACAAACAGCACTAATGTACTCTCAATGGTACAAAAATGCTCCTCAGGATCCAATTCAGTTCCTTAAAAGATACATTTACTTACAGCTAGGGTATAGCTGGCAGACCCTTGATGGTACAACCCCAGGGACAAGTAATTGCACCCTCAAAGGTACAAATTGGTACTGTAGGGGGTGCTTATTCGTAAATGATTGTTGACAGACTGATTAGCTGGACTAGTCACCAAGAAAGCATATGTGGAAATGAATCATTTAAATGAAAAGAACATGTGTAATCCACATTAAATATGTTGTTTAACATAAATTTAATATTTTTACTGCATATACAGCAAAAACAGTGGACATGCTAATTATAAATTGATAGCACAGCTGTTCCAGAATTTCATTTGTATACAATGCAATAAGGGATTGGACGAGTTTTATTTCTCTTCCTGCAGACAGGGCTACAATTATCCATTCACACTCTCCAAACCAACACCAAGGTAGTTAAGTATGGTCCAAGATCTACATTGAGATATGCAGGATTCATTTCAACTGCATACTTGTTGTCAAATGAGTAAATAGTTGAATAGTTTTTTTAATTACTGATATAGATGTTATTCTTTCAACTAGGCCAATTAGGAATTAATTTCCTGTGGTCCAGTTTTCAAAAGTTAGACCTTAGCAGACAGTAGTGCTGATGACATAAAGTAACTGGGCTTCACAATAAGTTTTATATTTAAAAGCATTTACAATAAAAAAAAAATTAAAACCCATATGCCTTGCAAGCTATAATCATATTCTACAAATAACCACAAAGAATCCTTCTTATACATAAATATAACTACGAAATACAAATCTTAATTTATTTTACAGATTTACATTTCTCAGTGATATACAAAACAGTCTAGCTGCATTTGTCTAGAATAAAAAATCATGGGCCGTATTCCCCTTTCCACACACACACCCTTAAAGCTGAAAACTGCTTTTCCCACTCAACAAGATCAGCTGATCGTCTATCACGTGATATGGTGTTGAAGGTCAATTTTCAGCTGCAATGGAGCTGTCGGAGTTTGTGCAAGAAGGTCTTCAATACTTGGCAGATTCGGGATATTTTAACGACAAGGCATTTGCGGTTATGATAGAAGTGGCTTTTCGCAGCTTACTGCTCTCCAGTTCTGACGACACAGTCTTAGGTGAGCACCTCGCTTTACCCTTCGCCTTTGTGTGTGGGGATTTCCGGTCTCTACTCACACGTGAAGAAAAGAACATCAGAAGATAAATACGCTATAAACTCAGAACTCGTGTTGAGCCGAATTTACAGCCTCACCGAAAAAAATAATTATTCGAACAAAACCGGCGTCTTTTCATTGCAAGACCGAGGCCTTGTCTTTTCGTGCAAGCTGTTGCGGTATAGCCTAACACAATCGATTTTTCTTTGCGACTTAAAATATGCAAGGATCTTACCGCTTACACGTTAAAAGGTGAAGATCGTGTTATTTGGTGTAGACTTAACGTAACAACTGATCATCAATTAACGTGCATAACTTTAGTATTTTGATTCCTGCGCGTAACTATCCGTCCGCTAGCTGCTAGTCCTTTGTTTCCGAGAAGCACTTCCGTGTGCTGCTAAGGGGACTGGCTACGTCACGATGTCACAACGTGTCTTTTTAACCCGCGTTAACAAAGACCTTATCATTATAGTAGTCGGGGCTTTTATGGAATAACGGTTGTAACCCAATGTAAATGCCCTGTCGTTTTTCTGTGATGGACAAGTGTGAACGATGCTTCTTCTGATGCGCCGTGTTTAAATCAATAGCGAATGAAGTTAAACATCAAGGAATCCTGAATAATGCGTATAGTAGACTACGAAATAATATTGCTAAAAACATATTCAATATTTTTTTCTGTATAATGTTTATGAATATAATGTATAAAAGACTATATGAACAGACGGATTTTCTCCTGCGTATGAATGCCTCTAGCTAGAGTATGAATTGGAATTTTGCTTTTGGAAAAGAGTCTTGTTTGCATTGTACATTCGCCGAGCAAACAGACCGTTCCAGCGTACATATAACAAATTAACGCGGAGAACTTGGTTAGGCTCACAGGAACTGCCTTTGTTGTACAGACAGCAATTTCCACGAGACTTAAAAGGTGATTTGCCACTGAAGCTGATTCTCATAGTGCATGTTTTAACTGATTTGTGAAAAAGGCGAATAAATAAGCAACCAAATAAATGAAGTACTTTAAGGTTAACGACCTGTATTCATTTACATGATCTGGCATTTAAAATTAATGACGTTAAAAAGAAATGCAGCGAAGAAGTCGCACATCGAGACGACTTCAACTGCAAGGGTCCTCCAGTACTGCGGCCACTTACAGACGCTCCCCAGCACCGTAATTCGCAGCATCCTTTCTGCGCTTACATGACCTTTCACGGTTTTGCACAGTCAGACCTGAACAGGGTACGCCCAGTCAGTCGCATTGGAAGAATTGATGTGAACCAAACATATATGAACCACACAGCAACCACCTAAAGTGTCTTGGGTTCATTCACCAAGCACACTGAACTAACACAGAAAACACCCAAAGAAGCAACGGTTAACCTGCGATTCACTGTCATTCTTTATAGGGTTTCAATGCCACTTTAGAACAGGAGTGTTTCAAAAATTGAAAATATACCGGAGTTATCTATACATACTAGATGGCTGGTGATTGAATGTTTACGAACGTGGAAGCATAACTTCACCGATTTAAATCCATATGGTTATTATGGGCAGTGAAGAAAAAGCATTTTTTTTTATTTACATTGGAATAATTAGGTAAATGTGCCTTGGAGAAGTGAGCGTATACTTAAATCATGTACATTATTTACGGTTTAATAAATACATTTTTATGATGGCGGGTGAAACATGCATAGCTCGACAAAAGTATTTGCTATCGGCTGTTTAGTATTTCCTGAGATTTTTCTATTTTGTTTCAGACGGACCAAGAACGGTGCTTATTTCCTTCTTTTTTGTTTTAGATAATAACGAATTGAAACATATCGAGCAGACAGTTGTGAAACACTGCCATAGCGCGGTTACCACCTGCATATTGGAATGTGTCAAGCAGAATGCCGACAGATCTACAATATGGTAATGTAGTGCCTTTGCCCAATGCCAGAAATATATTAAAGTAAAAAAAAAGCACCAATTAATTTTGTTTGTATTTTTTTCAGCACCTGTCTTGAAGATATTAGGTTTGACCCTGAGAGAATAGACACTTTCTGCAGTTTATACCAGGTGTGGGCTTTTTACTAAGGGTAATCGCAGTATTTTGTCTAAACGATGCACAACACTGAATTTCTGACTTCATGATATGCATTTTCTCTAATTTTGTCTTCTAGAAACACAAAAAGGATTTGGAAAACGTTTTATCCAGGTGACTTCTAGGTTCTGATTGTGCTAATGCCAGTGTACTATTTGCCTCAGTTGTAGGTTGCTTTAAACAAAAGTGTCCCTAAAAATAAATAAATGTAAATGTGATTGCTGAATGAAATTTTCCTAACACGTATCTAGTTAGAGCAACTATGTAATTGCATTCTATTCTTCATTTGTAATTAAAACTTCAAAAACATTGTGGAAGTTCTGTTAGGCTTAAATTTTCATTGCTTATTAGTTTTAGAATGATGTTTTTAAAATAATACATTTGTGTTTTTTTTTCCTGTATTAACATTCTTATACTTTAGCATAGGTAGAGGCTTGCCACATATAAATGATGCTTCGTGGCGTCTGGAGTATCAAATAAAGGTATTTCAAAAAAATAAATAATAATAACGTAATAATTAAGCTATGAGTTGAACTTGAATAACGTTTTGTCCCCCCCGCAGAATAGTCACCTGCACAAAGTCAACCAGCCTTCGTATCTGATCACCCTCAGCACTGAGGTATAGGTTTTTCTTCAAGTTCTATAAGGCCTATTGTTTACAGTTGTCTGCTTGCCCATGTGGCAGATTCTAACTTTCTGACTTTTACAGAACAGTGGCTCGAGGTCAGCTGAGGAAGTGAATTTCAGCTGTAACATGGAGCAGCTTCAGGTACGTGCTTTACGTCTTTCATGGAAGGAAGCCAGTCCAGCCACAAATGTTCTTCATGATAATAAAATCACATTCATATATTTTTTTTAAATACTAGAGTACAAGATAAAAGTTTAGTAAAAGTTTTTATTGGAAAATACATATTTCATTTGAGTGCACTTCTGAGAGTGTTGACACATTGCCTGTTTCTCCAGTCATGTATTTGTATAACTTTTCTAAATTGCTGCACAAAATAACTGAACCGTTTAATAAGTTTAAATAAGTGATTTAATTTCTTGCTTTTTCTTTGGTCGGTATGAAGTTTGGTCATTTGGTTGTATACTTTCCTGGAATGTCAGAAATAAGATTTAAATAACAAAATATCCTTTTTTCCATGGCAACCCAGAACTTATACAGTAAGGTCATGTCTCTAAGATAGGCTTTGATCTTGCTAGTTTTAAATATAATATAAAATAGTATTCAGTACTTAGTTTGTGAAATCATTTTGAATGATCGTAATGTTATGTCCTGTGAGCTGTAGAAATTAAAATATTTTTTAAATGCCTGTTTGCTCACAGTAATTTAAATGTTCCTTAATTTGAAAAGTTTTGAAAAGAATTGCCAGTTAAATTGAGAACTTGATTAATTTCGCGAAAAATTGTTCGGGTATTTGTTTTATTTTGGCCTATTAGGAAACCTCGCATTTTTAAACAAAATTTTAACTCATAAACTTCAGCGTGACAGAGTTTTCCCCATGAAACAGCTGTAAGCTATCGGGAAGTAATTTGATTGTATGTGTGGACATTTCACTGGAATATTGGGACGCATGTACAAAATAACTGGTAAGTGGGCTGGATAACGTAAGATCAACTGAGATATTACCGCATTTTACCGCATGAGCTCCTCCAGGACCGTCGTAGTGTTTAGGTTTGATATTTAACCAAATCTTTGCTGCTTGTTTTTTTTTTTGGAGGTATTATAATGCTAAACTAATGCCATATTTTCTCAAATTACAAACATTAGGTTGGAGAAATAAAAAACCTCGATTTTATTTTCTTTTAATTTAATTGATTTCTATTGGTGTGTAACTTTCGCCTTAGTAATGCAAGTTCAGTAAGTGACAAAGCATGGGTCGTTTTTTAGTTAAATATTTTATACAAATTTGCATAGTTCGTTTTTATATTGTGATGAAATTTCGTAATTATTCACATTTGTCGTCTATAAGGAATGCGCATTTTTACTGTTTTTCGTCTTTTTTATGTGTTGTTCCTATATACTTAGCTTGGGTTTTTCAGTTAATATTCTGTCGACGGTGGACGACTACAACTTACTGAGACATGAAACTTGACAATGGGCCTTTGAAATCAATAAAAAGAATGAAATCACTGTAATGTTCATGCGAAACCTGGATATTCCACCCTTAAAATTTTCCTTATCTTAGTAATGACGCATGCATTGGCCGGTGATACCACATGTGTAATCATAATTGCAGACTGTAGATAGTGTTTTACGTTTTTTGTAGTTTGGACACACGTCTTTATATTTATCTAGGATCTAGTGGGAAAAATGAAGGACGCGGCAAAGAGCCTCGAGAAGGCTACACAGCTCTAAAGGCAGGACGGATGCACCCAGGGAAACACTAGTGAATTCTGGCTTGCCGCCTGACCACTATCTGGCACTGAAGTTCAGCCGACCAGACTTCGTTGTTTTTTTCCGCCAACAAACCACATCTATTATCAGTTGATGATAAACTGTTTGGACAGATAACTTTGTAAAGCAATAAAATATACTTGGTTTTACGTCTCTTGTTTTATGTGCGTCATTGTCTCAATTACATGTATGTAAAATTTTGTGGGAAAGCATGAATACCGTCTTTCACTCTCCATAATCGTACACCTAAGTTGAACACTGCCCTGAAATTATTCACTTGTGTCACACGTGAAATACATTATTCATTCACAATAATGTACCTTCATAAAGTAAAAGTAGGCCTAAATGAATAGATACCGTCTGATATGCATGACCAATGTGACGTGAATTAAAATTGTCGTTTGACCACATTTATTTCGAGAGATCATCTTACGAATATTTTTTTAAATTCCAAATAGCCTAATTGTTTTTCAGCACTAAGAAAATCTGAGCTGACACTTGCGGTCTCTTTCTGAATATCATTCTGTCCATAACTTTTAATTTTTATTTTAGTAGACCTATCCTGTGTAAAGACTTGTAAGATAACACTATACGCAGACTTGTAAGGTGCACTCTCAGAGAAGTCCTATTGAAAGCCTTGCGTCAATCTTCTTGTTTACGGTCTTCGTAACGCCGTCGGAGGATCTGAGCCTCGTAAACAAACGTGACGAACGAAACATGCGACCTCAGGCTACAGCACATCAGGCAGGACAGCCACGTACTCCGCTGCTCACACAAACAAGCCAATGAGCACGACCTGAACAGCGCATGCAGCCGTGCGCGAAGTAAAGCACGATACAGCATGCATATTGTATTTACTGGTGAAATTAACAGGAGCCGCAGATTTTTCGTAGGAGGCAGTGCACATTGCAAGGGAAGTACTTTGCTCAGCTTTGCTCGTCGAGGTAGACAGGCAACCTTTCCAGACATTAAAAGCGCCCATTCTATTGTCTAGACTACTCCACTGAAGGTGCCACGGGTGCAATCGAAACCTAACCATTAGCCGATATACGGCAATCCAGTGGCGGGGACGGCGGGAGGATTCAAGTATTTGTTTATTTATTTATTTAAGAATTGAAGATTGATGACCTTTGATTACACCGACACTAATTCCCAGGCCACCCTTAAGGAATGAGACCACGTGACTGAGCGGGGCGGTCGAACTACAAGCCATTTTGGGGACAGTGTCAGTTTCCACTGAATCACCAGCATTGCTTTTTTTTCAAAGAAGTAAAATTCAGATCGGGCCAGCGAAGGGGAGTGATCACATCTCTTAACTGGACAGGCATTACTGGAATCTTCAGAAAACGCTTGCATTCCCCTTGCAGAAGGTGGGAGCTGTAGAAAAACACGGTTTTTCGTAACTAAAATGAGCTCGGGGTTGCCTTGCGCTTATTGCAATTGACAGCGGCTGCAGCTCTTTTCAAGATGGCCGCTTTGGCTCGCATTCATATTCTGCTGATCGACTTCTAACTTTCATTGTCTATCCGTGTCTCCTTTCACTATACAGCCCTTCTCTTTATGGGTAAGTGTTATGCGAAATCTTTTCTTACCGACAGATTAATAATGCAAGAGTCGCGTGAATGCTTTCCCTATTTTCTGCCTTAAACGTGAGACGGTATCTGTAAGATGCGAGGCTCTGACAGTGTTTCAAGCATACCGCCCGGACTCAAGTTTGCTACGCACAGTGCTTTAAATTTAGTTCTTTTCTTTAACAAACTTAGTCAACGTGGTTTCTAGCCGATCGGATCACAAAAACGAACATTTAGGCTATCGGTCTGTCGTATTGCTTTTGTCTTATTGTTCTTTTTTGGTTGTTTAGACATTGAATAAAGTCGGAGATCGCGTTAAATTAAGAGCAAAATGCGTCAAGTGTTTTTAAAAGCACCCGAACAAACAGTTCTTGTCATATCTAGATCTTAATATATACCTGTCAATTTATACGTATGGGATCTACATGATGTTAGGAATTCGGTAAAATCGTTATATTAATCATAGGTTGTCAGACTTTGATTTTATTAACTTAAATTGTGGCGTGGTAACCCAAGGATCTGTATGATCATGATCCAAGACGTTAAGTAGCCTACATGCATTTGGTGTTAGAATTTTTAACTATCATGTACTGAGACTGTTTAGATTGTTGGTGTTGCAAATATTTGGGTGACCATCAGTATAGCTAGTTTTTTACGGTTTTCTGAACTGTTTTGGGAGTAAACACGGGGTCGACAGCTGCAAGCCTTCAGAATTAAATCAATTCACAGATTAGATTCGGAATAAGCTGCATAATCGTGCGTGTGCTTTTATTTTCATTTAAGCTTGTTTTTCCATTGCATTTATGTCCAGTAGTGCGCATATCTGTGGTTTGCTGTTATTGACAAACTATTAGCGAGCGTTGGCTTGGTTTACAGTGGACAAAGCTCGCGTTTGGATTCGTACTCGCAGTTTTACTTCGGTCATGAGAAATGAACGGTTCACGTATTAGGCGCCCCCATGTTGTTCATCTTAAATTATTTATGGGGGGGGGTGGTCCCAAATGACCTGAACACCACTAATAAACATGCAGTGTGTAATCGCTTTCACGGTAAAGGGGCGTCTAAGAACGGTGTAGCCTAAAAGTTGTCAGCTGGACCCTTTTCGCGAATGTGTTTACATCGGTAATGGTTTTCAGGAATCAGATCTACGCGGGCTTTTGTGGTTTCTGCAACCGCACCATTTTAACGTTATTTTGTAACGTTTTGCGTTGTGATTGACATTATTCCAAGCAGGAGTGGCAGAGATGATGAGCAAACGATTTGCAATTTTGAGAAAGCTGAATCTGAGTGCATTCGTAATGGCTTGATAACTGTCTATGGTTCGAAGATAGTGACAATAACTGTCAGGTTACCGATGATGTGGAAAAGCATTAGTTCATTAGACCTTTATATAGGACTGCGTTATTTTTTATTGTGAACTTGTGAGGTGGTATGCTTTCCACTTTCATGTTCCTATTCGGGCAACAAGGTATACGTGATTGTTATACCAGGAATGGAACTTACAGTATCTCCATGTTTGAGATCACCCTTCATTGTATAGACTTATTTCTAGGATTCACATGTCAAAGACTAACAGTTATCTTGAGTCTTTCCGATTGGTCAAACCTACCAGATTCATTATTGGAATGGTGTGTCACGGCAACAAAAGCATTGCTTGTGTAGCTAGAGATGCACTGAAAGTTGTGTAAACATCGAATAGGATACTAAATCGGCTGATGGGGTAAAAGACTTTGTTTTGGATATATATGTAAGACTGGAAATTCTAGAATATAGGAGTTTTAGGAACTGTGTTTAAAAAGCCTTAAAACGGACTAGTTTACATGGTAACTAAATTAAGTCTGTGTACCTGGTGTATTCAGTGCGGTGTGTGTATATATATATATATATATATAATTTTTTATTTTTTTTTTTTGGTGTGGTGATATAAAGCTTTTGCTGCCTAGCAATGAATGGATGTACAGCCGGTGGCGCAGTACGTACGTACACATGTTTCAAATTGTTATTAAAGGCTTACTGTGCGTACAGTCTACTTTAAAAATTGTATAAAATAAGACTGGCAGCTCTAAATAAGCTGATCGTTTTAAACACCTTTTGAAAAGCGGCGGGTCGGTTAAATGTATGCGGGCACCGTGAGGCTCAGATCCGACATGGTAACAATTTCAGCCTGGCGGTTAATAGGGAGCCTGCGGTAATGTGTTAATTTTTTGAGACGACGTCAGCTGCACTGCTCGTTTCAATTAAGAGTAAATCTTGTCGTGGTTCTCTGTTATGTGTTCCTTATAACGTTTTGTGTGTCTGTAATGAGGGGAATGTTTTTTTTTCGGATGTAAGCTATGCCGATCACCGTGTAGCCTAATAATTATACAGTTCTAGGTTGTATTAGACAATCTGGGGCTTCGGCATTCATATTTTATGCTTCATTATCTGCCTCGTATGTTTTTTGTTTGAAGGTACTTGTTATGTTCCTAAAATACGTATATTGTGATTAAACGCGAAATGTTGAGCACTGGCGACGTACACAAAGCCGCTGTGAAGCGTTTTGGAGCGGACCTCCCTCCGCTAGATGGGATCGGTTCGCTAATCACGGTGGCTATTGTAGAGGACAGCGGCAGTTTGGACACTGGTTCGGGTAGTGTCCGGTCGAGGCGGTTTGCCCGTTTGTGGGTCCGGTTTTATGAGCATCTGTACGAGCCACGGCTCAGTTTGCAGTCAAGGGCAGGGTGCCAAGTATAAACCAAGTTGCTATAGCAACAGTAAGGATGTCGCCGATCATAGCGAAGTAACTCTGCAGCGAGCGATCTTCAAATGGCACAAATGTTTTTTTACTCTCGTTTTAGTCAGTCAAAAGTCTAGTCAACGTGTCTTTATTGTCTCAGTTGTGTCAGGCATGGGTCATATACGGAGATGAAAATTCATTGCTCTTGGTACATGTGATGGAACATATACCGTGAAACACCTGATTAGGTAGAAGAGTGTTCAAATAGGCAGCCACCAGAGCTGCTGAATTAGCTGTAGTCTGAACTAGGCTTGACATCTGATTTTGCTTTTGTTGACTTAGTAAAGAGTGCATGAAGTTATGGATGAAAGTATACTTATGTTCTTCAAATACTTTTTGCGAAGTTCTTTCTGCTTTATGGAATGCATTTATGTTAAAGATAATACACCTTGCTGTTGTACTATGGAAATAAAATTGTAAATCTGTTTAGGAAATTTCCCAGCTCTTTAAGGATCAGTGAATTTAATTTGAGCTAATGCAGCATCTATGTAAAAGCCGTTTTATCTAATTATTTCACCTCCACACAGGACTTTGATGTTCATGAGGATGCATCGAACAACAAGAATTAAAATTACCGACCTAAACCCACACTTGATGTGTGTGTTGTGTGGTGGATATTTCATTGATGCGACCACCATAGTTGAATGTTTGCATTCATGTAAGTACCAAATTTACCCAGTAAGCCTCTAAAGATAATTTAGTATCTTTGTATAAATCAGAAAGGCTATCTTTTCATTCAAATTTAATGCTAGGGACATTGTAATCAGTCTTGAGAAGATGTCCTTGCATAACCATTTACCACCTCATCTGTCATTTCTTCCCAAAATGGATCCAGTCTGTAAAATGTGCATCGTCCGCTATCTGGAAACCAGCAAATACTGCCCGATTTGTGATGTTCAGGTTCACAAAACCAAACCACTTCTAAATATTAGGTAACCTTTCAAAATTTCGTTTTGCATCATGATGTATCTCTTGCTTTTAAGAATTTGTGCCTGCCTTTTTGTATACATTTTAAATGATCCTTCAAGTATATACTTATTACTTAGTAAAAAAAATATATAGCCCTAAGCCTGGAATATTTCTTATTTTTATTTTTTTATCAAATAATTATTTATGTTAAGTGAGGAAGTAAAGTTTAAAATCTGTTTTCCCATAAAACACAGCAAGTTGTTACAAAGTTAACAATGCAGGTGCATGTATTGCAAGTGTTACTCATTCATATATAATGGAATAGATGCATAATCTCTTTATTGTAGGGCTGATAAGACTCTTCAGGACATTGTGTACAAGTTGGTACCTGGCCTGTTCAAAAGTAAGTGCAGCCTTAAATTTGTTAGCATTCTGTGTTTGATTTATACACTGAGGGAAAGTTTAACTGGATAACCTTTGCATGTTTCTGCAGATGAGATGAAACGAAGGAGAGATTTCTATGCAGAACATCCCTCAGTAGATGGTAATGTTCTCTTTGCCAAATAAAGTTCACAGTGTTTTCCTTGTTTGAATAACATGAGTACTAGGGACGAAATGAGGAATAACCACAAGCCTTTTTTAAGGTCCTCGTGTACTCGTTCTTGTACTTGACAGTATTAAAGACGGAACAACACTTTTGCTGATGACCCAGTATATTGGCATTACTTGGATAGTCATTATTTATTACAGGCAAGAGGTTCTAAAGAACATATTTTAATTGTGCTCTGTTTTGTTCAAAGCTGCTAATGGATCAAATGAAGACCGAGGAGAGGTGGCAGATGAGGACAAGAGAATAATTACAGATGATGAGATAATCAGTCTTTCCATCGAATTCTTTGAGCAGAACAAGTAACCAAGCATTAAGATTCTTTGTATTTGTTATGTTGGGAACTAATATGATGGTCATTTATTGTATTTCTGCAGATATATTTGTTCTAGAAATATCATATATTTATAATGAGAGAAAGTAGTAATAAATGTAGCATTGAACTTCAATGCGCTTGTCCCTGTAATTTGTTCCTAAGGTGTTTATGGTGTTTTTTTTCCCCCTTGTGTGTGACAGGGCAGAAAAACAAGGGAGTACAGAAGAGGGAAGAACAAAAGAGGAGGTATGAATCATATGTTGGCATGGAGGAAAAAAAACATGCGATATTCTTGCTGCTGTTTGTCTTTAATGCGAAACTTGATGCTTTGTAGGTGAATAACAAGAGGTATCTTCAGTGTCCTGCTGCCATGACAGTCATGCATTTGAGGAAATTCTTAAGAAGCAAAATGGATATTCCGTCCACGTTTCAGGCAAGCTGTTTTAAATATCAGGTTTTTTTGCTGTCTTAAGTGACTGAGATCCTAGCAGTACACTACATGCTTTGCCAAATTTGTAATTTGGTTTTATTCAAATAACATGAAATTGCTTCATTATACAGAGATTATTTTTACTGCTGTTGGATGAAATTAATGTGGGGAATAAAGTTAATTTCTGGGACAGACCAAAAAAATGTGCTATTTTTCGTGCGTTTTGGGGGAAAAAAATGACATGCTGTATTGATCACTGTGTTTAAATGTTTCTGTGATAACAGTGTAAAGAGTAAACATTGTTTTATTTATGTGTAATTATTGGAAAATAAGCACTATTATGCTATAAGCACAACTTATAGCAGCCTTGGTGAATTTGGGTGAATCTCTCCATAATTTAGATTGAAGTCATGTATGAAGATGAACCACTAAAAGATTACTACACATTAATGGACATTGCCTACATCTACACTTGGAGGAGGGTAAGAGATTTAAACTGACCATTTTGTATAATATTTAGTAAAATGCCTACTTTGGCAGTCTGTTTTGTTTTTTCAGGATACTGTTTTGCCACGTGGTATAACTAGGGTTTAAGGTACAGCTAGCTCAGTGCTTTTATATTTTTTTTATAGAAAGATAAAGGGATTTCAGATTTTGTTTTAATAAATGGTTGTGTTTTCTATCTGTCCTCAGTGGATATGTCAGATACTGAAAAGTATTAAGATTTGTATAAATTTAGATATGATGCAAGGAAATTTGAAGGGACTGTAAAGGTTTGTCATTTGTACAGTACTTGCATGTTTCCTGTAGGCTGGCTAGCTCAGCACAGGGCAACAAAACATAGGATGAACACTTAATGGGACATGACAACAGCTAGGTAAAATATACTTAAGTAAACATGGATAAGAAAATGTGGATGTGTCTGGAAGAATAAATAAGGAAATTATGTGGATTGTAGTATTTTTTGTTGTTTTTGTAGTATCCTTTTAGGAAACGTGGTTCTATATCATGACTCACTTTTTCACAACTGAGATATGAGTTACTTTCGGTTGTGTATTATACACTCCCGTAGTGTGTGTGTTTTTAATGGGATAAACATTTCTGCCGGCCATTCTATCTTATAGCCTTGCAAATGACTTGTGTTTGCAGAATGGACCTTTACCTCTGAAGTACAGAGTACGGCCCAACTGCAAAAAGCTGAAACTCAACCACTCCCAGGAGGGCCTGAATAGCACCAGTCGGTCCGAGATGGAGAGCGACTCGGCGAGTGACAAAGCCAGCAGTCCTAGGGGGGTCCCCTCTACGTCCTCATCCCTGCCCAGCCCGTCGACTCCAGTCCAGTCTCACCATCTCCACTTCCCACACATCTCCAGCACAGTCAACGGTACCACAAAGGCGCCCAGCCCGAGCCTACAGTCGCCCTTCACCAACAAAGTCCACAAGGCCAACCTCATTGGCTCCTCCACAGGATGATTTCACAAAGGCTGCGCCACCAAAGCCAAATCGCCCAGCTCTATACATGTGCTGCATTCTAGGCGCTTTATTTTTTAATCACGTCACTGTAATTATGTATGTGTACGTTTTTATAAGTTAGTGGACATCGTATCTGTACAAACGGCTCCGAGGTACCGTCTCGCATTTTAACGAAGATCAATACTGAAGTATACATTCGGGAATTTCGGATGTGGTCAACGTAACGCATAGAAGAGGCGTTAAAACGATCATATAACCACTTAGGTAGAAGGCTTTGTAGAACCTCCGCTCCCTGACCCCTTGCCTTCTGGACTGTTTAACTAGACAGTGTTGGGTGTCCTTTTAAAGTTTATTTAAGCCCTTTTTCCACGATATACACGGCCGGGAAATATTTTTACCTACGAAGGCAGCGTAGATTGCAAACAGTCCAGAAGGAAAACTCAGAAATGACACTTGAAGAATATGTATGGCTGGACAAGAGTTTAAAATCTGTTAAATTAGCCTTTTTAAGAAGCGGTATGATAAAGGGCGTACGAGGTACTTTCAGCTAAAGGGGAAGGGGAGACATTTCAGATTGCTTAAATTCGTGTAAATGATCACAGTAGTTTCAGTTTAATGGTAATCGATTCTTTCGCTCACGTATGGATGGACCGTAGCTAGCAAGATAGCTGGGTCGGAAATGAGTAATTGTCTAGAATTTACGTAGCCCTATTTACTACTGTTTAATTTTTATTTTCCTTTTTACGCAGAGGAATAACGAACGAAGGTCTGCTGCGTGGAATCCTCTGTGTAAAAGTTTAAAAATCATTTCATGCTAGAGGGAATGTTTGGATGTCTCCACAGTGTTCTACATATGTGTATTGATCGATTGTATGTAAAGCTATTGCATTGTTACTGTTGCACAGTATAAAATAAACCATTTTACATTTCGATTACTTTATTACTACTAGCCAGACGCTTCACTCGTATTCCGCACCCCTTATGTTCTGGAATTGCCGTTTTCTTTTCGTTAAACGCACTGTCAGTGGGTTTGAGTGACTGAAAAACGAAGGCAACCTGTCCGAAGACTTGCTTCCTCACGGATCCTTCTGTTTTAGTGGATTATATGGGCAGTCATTATGGCGTAAATACAAGTGGTCTGGTCTTACTGCTGGTAAAACAGGGTCTGTGTGAATGTTTTGCTCTTAATGACAAGTTGTTCCAATTTCTTTTCTTTTAAGTCACTAAATTCACGTTAAAGGCCGCAAATTGCTGTCGAATTCAGGTTCACACGCATGCCAGTAATATCATTTTAACATTTAAATTAGGGTATTGATTTTTGTGTTGTCTTACCTAGCGACCTTGGAGTAGTGAGCAAATCAGACTGCTATAAACTACCTTGAAAGTTGACCGACTACTGCATTCAGCGAATGGTCATGCTTGTCATACGGCTGCAGGGCAAAGAGTGCAAAAGTATTTGTATCTGACAGTTTAAACTGTCATTCTTTGCAAAGGGCAATGGCTCATTTTGTATATGCTTATTGATATTATTTTAAATTCATTCAATATATAAAGCATTGATCCATGTAGCCTAACCTGTTTAAAACGCCACGTGATTTACTGAATTAATTACATTGTTGCAAACTGTTCCTTCCGCGTCAATAAGCATTTGGAGCATCAACTCAGCTCCACCCGATTCAGTAGTGCGGCACATTGCGAGTTTTGCACTGATTACGTGTTCAGTTTGATGACTTATGGAACTACCCGTCATTTACTGCAGGCACCAGCTAACACGCCGACGCATGCGCCTTAGGGTGTGCATATTGCTGAAACAATATTCTCAATAATTGAATTCCCCTATACCATCGCTCCAGTGATCACTGTACCAAACCTCACTGTTATTTAGTCTTCACCCAGAACGAGTCCTTTCATGGACTGAGACACTCTAAAACTCCAACAAAGTACTTTTTCTTCTTGAAAACGTTGAACTTCAAGATCTCATACAAAGTAATATAATTTCTATTAATTTAGTAAGTGATGTAGTCATTCTGTTAACTCTTTTAATATATAAGCATTTTTTCAAGGAAGAAAATAACCAAGGAGGGAGACAACGTGTCAGCTTTGTCCCAATTTTGTGTCATTTTTCTTTTTTAATGTAAACGATAAAAGACAAAATGAGCATAGTATTCAATGCAGCGAAATAAATCTTGTTACTGGAATGGGTGGTACGTTGTTTTTCAAAAGATATAGTTATTGATGCAATAATCGAGAAAATTAAGATTTTGTATGAGGTGGTCAGTACCTTCTCTGTATAATCAAATTCATACACATGATGTTTGTAGCTTAGGTTGCTTAGCGTTAAAAATAATGTTTTGTATCATCGGTTCAAGAAAATGTCTCGAAAATGTAGAAGATACTGCTGTAATAGACCAAAATATCTTTGTACAATTGCTTCCCGCATAATAACACAATTGTAATGTTTGCTCTACATATCTGAAGTCTTTGAACGCAATTCTGATCATTTAATCCAACAATCTTTTAAAATGTTTATTCATGACACGCTTTCTCTTTCTCATTCTTATCTATTTCCTTTTGACTTATCTGTCTGGAATTAGTGTCCCACCAATTTTCAAGTTGGTTTATTTACGATTTCCCCCTTTGTTTCTATGTAATTCTAGGAAAAATACACAAGAAATGAAGCTACCTAAAATATTTGAAAAGCTTAATTAGTTGCTAGAAAATTATATTCGTTCCGTAACATATAAACTCCAAACCTATATATCCAACTGTAATATTTTTCTCATTTTTTTTATTCTCTGTTAATGCCTGTCGCATATTTGTAGGCCTACATAGTTTTCTTTTTCCTTGATGATGTAGCGTAGTTTACAGAACATGGATGTGGTCAGCATTTGCAGATGCGAAGCACTTTTGCCTTATTTGTTTCAATCAATTGAAATAAAGACGGCTAACAGAGTGTAGCAGCCCACTGCAAATGAGATACGCACTAGTTACACATTGCGACAAGACAGGGCAAACATTAATAAAACCCCTGCTGGTTTAACACCAACCCGTGGTTTGTGTTTCCTAAGACACATCGTGTTCTCAGAACATTTTTACAATGGACTCTGCTGAAGTGATAAAACCGAATGAAAAAGGAAGGAAACACTTAGGCTGTATTAGTCACTAAAAATCGCCTGTGCTTAATATTAGCTACTCTGTTCGTCCTACACGTAAAATGCACTCATTTATTTAATATTATTTTTATTAACGATACTTTACAAGCTTATAGTGGCCTACGTAACGTGTTTAACCATAAGTAAACGCGAAGCGCAAATGTAAATACATCTGTTTTTCTATAAACACTGCTGTTCGTATTAGCGATTACGACGGCCGGCAGAATTACTGAACAACAGCATATGTTTGAGACCTTGGTGATTTATGTTACGGGAGGGGCCCTAGTTTTCTGACCTTGAACGATGTAGCCCGTGTAGCCTCAACTCCAGTAAAATACCCGGCAATAAAAACTAAGTTTGGATTGCCTAAAGGCGACTGATAATGACGACAAAAAACTCACTCATATAGAACGGTTGCCATTGTGATGATTCATTTCACAGCCGTCTTATGTAGTTTAGGTGACTATTTTATCCAAAGCGATCACGTATATTAGCAGTTAATGCAAACTAAGCAAACTAAGACGAGTACAAGGGTACAGGAGAAGGGCGTCCCTTGGGACTTGTGTAACTTCATTACTGCCACGCTGCCAGCTGCCCTTAATAGGAGTCTTTATCTAGCGCTTCAGACGGATTGACCACGCCGCCGAGTAGCCTACAGCTGCTGTTACCATATAGGCCTAAGCCATTATGAATTAAATTTATATGGACTAAATTAAATTAGCATTCAAGTCAGCTAAAACATCAGTTCTGTTGTAAACTGAAAGCGTATAACAGTTATCAGGGATCAGTGCACCCTACGTATGTCATTAAACAGAGCAATACGCAGTAGATTATATACACAGAGTCAGTTTTATTTTAGACACTGATATAAATGCATGGTATGCTATAGGCAATATTTCCACCCAGACATTTTTAAAAGATATATGTATTTCTTTGAAAGTGTCATTCACTTTAAACCAAATCACCTGCCGATTATACATTTCAGTGACATTATACTACTGAATTGAAAAGTAAGCTAATGAAAACAAGTAAGAAAAAAACGTATCCAAAAATATGTTCCATGTAAAATATTGCATAGCCTTACAAAATTTAACATTTTTGTACATGGCTGACTACAATTAACTTGCCGACGAAACAGAAATGAAGCAAAACCTTGGGTTGTAATAATTATATCAACGGTCGGGGGATATTAGCCTATGCATGTTACCATTAGAGACAAACTCCAAAGCTGAAAGTTACAGCCCAAATGTTGAACTGAAATCCTGTTTGCTAGAACATCCAGGTTAAATTAAGGTAGTATTCTTTTGCATATGAACCTTAATCTAAGACTGGCCAACAGTAAGAGTCCTAATTATGCAACGTAATAAAACGCCTGCATGTCGTTCTTCATCTTTTTCTTATTAGTCTATACTATTATTAACAGTAGATGCGTGTGCGTGTTATATGCGTGTAGAACTTGCATCCCTTCCCTGCTTTGTGCCCCGTGCGGCAAAACAATCAACTGCATAAGTGTAAAAGATGCAAGGTCATTCAGATCAAAGAAAACGTGTGCGAAAATACGTTTGTTTCAAATATATGTATACATATATAGTATATATACCTATACAATCTTCCTTTCATTTAACCTATGTTTGAATAAACGTGCTTCGCTATCTAGTATCAGGCGTATTATAGACTAGGACGCACAAGCACGCTCTGTCATTTTATCGCTGTTTTGAACGTCGGGGAGAACATTTCACCAAAGCGGGAATGTTTGATCAGGCAAATCTTCTGCATCCCTCTAAAACCGAAACATAACGTACACATTTTCGATGCTTGCTTCCGGTCTGTTGTCAAGACAACTATATCGCAATCCAAACTTCAGGTTGCTATTGGAGACAGAGACGCTTCGGACCGCGGATCTGATCGAGCCGGAGGCTTTATATTAGATATATCTGCCTTATAATGTGGAATCGCCATCCTTAGGCTATCGGACAGATTTGAACGATGAGTCAGCGGCAGGTTTTACAAGGTAAGCGCAGATTAAAGAGTTTAAAATAGGGGGATGAACTGGTGACAGAGTTCAAATGAGTGATCTTGCGTAATCACCACTTTCGCCAGCCGAACGACTATGTTAATATGCACCAAATATTGCATCGATTAACAATTTCTGTTTCAGTTTTTGAACAATACCAGAAAGCTAGGACCCAGTTTGTCCAAACAATTGCGGAACTTGCAACAAGACCACAAAACATAGAAACGCTACAAAATGCAGGTAAGTGGGGGCATACGACATTTTCATTCGGCCACTGGCGTAGTATTTATTTATAAAATTAAATTCTAACTTCTTTTTTTATACGGGTAACTTGTCTGAATTCGTGATCTTTTCCAAAAATAATTTATGTCGTGACTATATTTGCCCAAGTAGGCCTGGAAGGGTCTGTAGGCCTATTTGTAATCTGCATTAAAATATAAAATACATTCAAGAAAACACGTAAACAAAACAAATTCCCTGCTGTACAGCTTTCTGAGTATCACACCCTCTCGTGGGTAGTAACAAATTTAGCCCTGACCCACAATGTGAAGCCGAGACAGAATCATCACGAGAGCACATCTGCATTATACGTTGTCATTATTTTAAAATATTATGTCACTAAAAGCCATATTCTTTTTTTATTATAATATCACATCACGTTGCTAATATTCCCTTGACCATTTTCACATACTGTTGTTTTAAGTGAGTTTGACAGGTTGGAGTAGGGTATGTATTAATTAGGTCTATACGTTTATCCATCACATTTTATACATTTTCTAACAAACCTCGCAGCCTGCTGTAGTAGGCTACATTTTGAAGCTATGAGGTCTTGCTTTAAGTAGCCTATCTGAGGTTCCCTATCCTTGCAGTGGTTGTTTTAGTTTCGCTGGCAGCTTCAGCGATCTTGCGAGGTTCCGCGGGCGGCTGTAGTGCACGCAGGCCGGCGGGATCCCGCAGCTGTGTCGGCCGCACATGGTTTTCATTAGCGGGGCTGCACTGCCAGCAATAGGAAAATGCCATTGCTTTCAGAATCGCACGACACTGTGTAGTTTAAATCGGCGGGACATTCTCCCTTTTTCATACAACGTTACACTGAGGCTGGAACAAAAGCAAATATAAGTTCACAACAAATAGTTTGACAATGTGGAAACAGTAATACTGCTAATAGTATTGAATCGAATTACTATGATTATATGACAATACTCAGACTTAACGCCGGTAACTATGTTTAGCTATACTTTCTATAAGTAAGTTTTTTTTATGTTTGATTTGTGCAGCGATTGTCTGAGTGACGTCATCTTGTTACGATGACTGTAATCCATACTTACTCTATCTATCTCGTCTCAATATTTAAAAAAGGCCTCGAGACTGTGACGCGATTTAAAAATACAGTAAAACACGTAATCCCCAGCATGTGAATATGGCTTATTCTCCAGTTTGTTTGTTATATGTTAATTACCGTTTCCCTATGCACAAAACGAGTCTCTCTTCAACATAGGTGTACTGTCCCTGCTGCGGCCTCTTCTGCTGGATGTGGTCCCAACTATTCAGCAGACAGCAGCTTTGGCTCTGGGAAGGCTTGCCAACCACAACGATGACCTGGCCGAGGCGGTTGTAAAGGGAGACGTCCTTCCGCAGCTTGTGTACTCTTTGGCGGAGCAAAACGTAAGACTCCTCCGTGCTCGGTGAACTCAGTGCCCGCAAAGGATTAAGTGAATCGTGAGCGTTACTCCAGCCCGTGTTCAGATAGAAAATGAGAGCTGTAAAACAAGTCAGCGGTCAGCCGCTCGATGGGAAATATATTCAATTTACGCAACCGACGTCAGTGAGTTACGTCCGTACTATAATATGAAACCTGCATTGTTCAATAATGTCTATCTATAAAAATGTTTTTGGGATCTGATGATTACATATTTGTGGCCGCAACGATCACGTGCATTATCACAACACATCTTACTTTTAATATTCTTAATTTTTCATTTTCATTTTAAACTCGTGAAACTTCTTGCATGCCTGCTGCGACGCGTTTTGCTATCAATGTATCATCGACAATCGTGTGGCTTAGCACACAATCGAAAGCTTTGACAAAGAAAGTAAAGCAAGAAAGAAAAAAAGAAACTTGCAAAATGAAAAAACTCCTGATAGAAAACGCAAGCATGGGAAAGCACTCACTGCAGGAAGGTTTTTTTTTTTCTCCCGAAGACGCAATTATGCATCTTGTGTGCATAAAAGCCATTTATCTTGAGCTTGGCCTCTCGACTGCAGTGTGTCATTCATAAACAGACAATTAACTAGCACTCGAGAACACTGCAGCCACACCAGTGGAGAACTTGGTGGAAAAAGATTCTGTTAGCCTGAGTCACTATAGATGATAGTAGAATTAGCGATAACGTTGATGGTCTTTTTCACAATAATTTAAGTGTTCGCACCGTGTTTTGCGAGTTCAAGTTATGATTTTCGTTGCGTTTGATTTCCGAGGTTTTTTGCGTCTGAATACAATTAAATGAATCCACTGCACAGGACCTACACAATTTCCCAGGCTTTTGCGAATCACAAGTGGTTATTCAGGGCCGTCGTGAATGTCTCAAGAGATCAGGCCACATGGGCAAACAGCAACTTGCGCAACCACAGAACACCTGACAAAAGGATTGACATGTCTGCGAAATACCGGCCGAATCTACGCCTCTTGGGTGCGCGCCTGCAGTTCTGCTGGGCCCTTTAGTGCAACAGCGTGAATGGGGATGTTTGTTAGCACTCGGGCTTTGAAGAGCTCCAGGGTCTGAGACCACCCCATCCTTTTCACGCAAGCAGGGGACCTTTTTTCGCCCGTTGGCATTCGCTCGGTTTTTTGGGACCTTGTCATGTGTGCAATTAGCTGCCAGATTCTAATTCGGCTTTCAGGGAAGGTAAACGTTTCTGCTTCGCGTCGTGTTAATTGCACTGGACAGCCTTTACTTGCATTTGTACTTAACGCTGGTTAAGCCCAATAGTTCTAGAGAGAAAATACCCAGTGGATTTTCAAAGGATTTAAAATCAAAATAATTTTAAATGATTCATAAATTAAGTTGATCTTTGAATTACTTAGAATGCCCAAGGCTGTTTGGGTTTCAACACGTCGTTTTATATGCATTTGGGCACTCCTTTGTTTGACTTAATTTATTTGATTTTGCTATACATTCTTCTGTGTTCTGCAGTAAATTTATGATGTGCTATTTAGGAAAAAAGTGCTTAGAAGGATTTTATGAACCCAAAGTGTGACTTGATCTTATCTCCTGTGATCTTACTGTTTTTTTTTTGTACATTTTTTTTTTTACCTGTGTTTCAGTACTTACTCAGAAATGCAATTTACAACACATTACTACACTTAATTATTACTCTAAAATCAAATACTTATTGTTCAGTTGCAAAATCGGGTAAGACTGGTCTTGAAATAATTTATCCTAGAAACATGTAAATAAGAAGTGGCTTCGTGGGCCTCACTGAGGGTTATGTATATATGTCCTCACAATGTAATGAAAAACTGTTATTTTGACATTGTGGTGACCAGTTTTTGGTTTACACAAGGGGAAATTCAATTTTATAAAAATCTGTGATTGCTGACAAAAAATTAAAAATGCCAAAGGACTTTTTGTTTGGTTACTTATGGTTAACGTTATGGCTGAGTAGGGGTTAGGGTTGCCATTGTCGGGATTAGAGTTTTGCCAGTACAAATGAATGGATGGTCCCCATAAAGATATGAGTACAGGTCTCTCTCTCTGTCTCTCCCTCCCTCTCTCTCTCTCTCTGTCTCTCTCTCTCTCTCTCTTTCTCTGTGTTTGTGGGAAGTTTCATTTCACAGTACAATAACATGCATTAAGGCAGACTGGCATGTAAATCGTACATAGGGCTTGTGTACTATGTACAGTTTAAATGGGCTTGCATTTTCTCTATGGTGTTTCCCTCCCTTGTGTACTACACAGCCTGGCATAGTTTCCCATGACCCTTTGCTGCATCAGCACCTGGAAGTAGGGTCTATAAATAGAGTCACTGTACAGTAGCACTGTGCTTGATTATTCTAGTCAGTCAATTTTTGGTTATTTTTTCAGTGTCTGTTATATTACTTTTCCTCATAAAGCACATGGTTTGTACCATGCGCCCAGGGAGCATAGTAAGATGCCCACACAGAGCTGTTTGGTAGGAGCTTCGAGAATAAAGCACATTCCCTACGACACATTAAAATCATTTTGGTGTCAATTGGTAGCTATTAAATGCCATCCACTACAGCGACACAGTCCTTGTATACTCTGGTGCACAGGGTATGCCATCGTATTTGTTGTAGAAATGACTGACTATTCCTTATCATTAGCTATATCATCTTTTTCCATATACTGTAGCTATGGGTACTGTTTGGCTGTCCTTAGTAAATGGAGAGTTTCGGTGTTTCATTTATCCTTGTCCCTGAAGTTGCTGATGGCGATGATGGTAATGTGTGTGTGCGTTTGTGTGCCATGTCTCTCCCTGATCCGCAGCGGTTTTATAAAAAGGCAGCGGCGTTCGTGCTGCGGGCGGTGGGCAAGCACTCTCCCCAGCTGGCACAGGCCGTGGTGGACTGCGGGGCACTGGACGCCCTGGTTGCCTGCCTAGAGGAGTTCGACCCTGGGGTGAAGGAGGCAGCAGCCTGGGCACTAGGCAACATTGCCCGCCACAACGGAGGTAGGGCCAGAAACACGGCCGCTAACTTAGCTGAGGCTTATCCTTATAGCTAGCAGTTGTGAATCTGTGTCTGCATACTGCCATGCAGAGTGTCTCCAGGCAGTACCTAAGAAGATCATAGTAATTTGTTACTGTGATTTTAGGTTAGTGTGATTTTTTCACCCATGTGGTACTTGGCTGCTTTGATTTGATTCTAAGTGGTATTTGGTTTGAAAACTTTCCGAACCACTGCTTTAAACTTATACACTATCTGTTATAAAGTATATTTAACTACATTAATGTGTATGAATGTGATTCCTATTTTATGCTGTGTTACTCTCAAAAGGATGAAGGTGCTATGAGGAGCATTTAAGGATATAGAATATGTACTGAAATCACTGCGTTGTTCGAAGCTGTATCATTAGCTTACTGTTATCTATAATAGTGCTCTATTGCTGCTTAGATGTTTCAGAAAAGATTGTATTTCCTGTGTAACTGTTGGGATCAGAAGGATGCAACCTGTAAAAAAACAAACCAAAGGATAATGAAACACGTGCCATTTGTCATCATTTGTTTTGCAACCATGTTTCATAGATTCAAGACACCTGAGACCTCTTTGAAAATGTATACTTTGACCCACGAATGAAGTGATTTAAAATGCATAACGTTTGTAATTAATTGGTGGTTTTCACTGTAAAATTTGATATGTATGATGCAAGAGTGGTGCACACATGTGTAAACACCCCCCCCCCCCTCGCACAGGGACCCATAGTTGGCACAGAGCTCCTCAGACCTGTGCTTATTAATGGGATCCAGTGGCTGACCTGTGCCTGCCCCAGGGGCGTGATGAAAGGCTGATCTGAAATGCAGATGCGGGTGGGGTGAGATGGGGGGGGGGGTTAGCCATCGCATCATCCCATCTTCCCCCCGCTCCGCCTGCCTGTTTCACTTTGAAAAATTGGCTGCTTGCAGGGGTCACTCCCCGTCACCCCTCGGCTGTGGGGAGGCTGATCCCTTATCGCCACCCCCGCACACCCCACCCCACCACCATCCCTTCTTCCGGTGTGGTCTGTAGAGCTCTCCCAGGCGGTGGTGGATGCGGGGGCCGTGCCGCTGTTGGTGCTGTGCATCCAGGAGCCTGAACTGGCCCTGAAGAGGATCGCCGCCTCCGCCCTCAGCGACGTCTCCAAGCACTCCCCGGAGCTGGCCCAGACCGTGGTGGACGCTGGAGCTATTGCTCACTTGGCGCAGATGATCCTGAACCCTGATACTAAGCTGAAGGTGAAGTCTCCAAAGGCTCTTACCTATCATAGGTCCAACGTAGATACACAGCCACCAGTATCTCCCATACACTGAGTCACTACTATGATTCCTTTTAAAGATTTCAATAGTCTATATAAGAAAGAAAGTAATTTTTATTAATATATCCCAAAGTTCAGGCAAAGTTCTGTAGCTGTTGAGGACATGGGCTCATGTTCCATCCTAACAAGCATCAGGATGCTGTTGTATTAGATGCCTAGTTTGAATGTCTTCACCAGTATCAGTAGTTAAAAACTGCAGACTGCTCTGGATGTCAAAGTCAAAGGGGATCATTCAGGCAGACACATTTTGAGGTGTTTGATTTACTCAAAATTCTACTAAATTTAAGTGCTATTAGAGGAAATGAGTCTTGAAGATTCTGAACGGAACCGCTATTCTGGTGAGGTCATCTGAAATTTCCTAATCTTCCAGCGCCAAGTCTTCTCAGCCCTTGGGCAGATCTCCAAGCACTCGGTGGATCTGGCTGAGATGGTGGTAGAGGCAGAGGTCTTCCCGGCTGCGCTGGCCTGCCTCAAAGACCCGGACGAATACGTGAGGAAGAACGTCACCACGCTGATACGTGAAGTCGCCAAGCATACACCTGAGGTAACCGCCCAGCTCTCGCTTCCCGGTGAGGGATGTCAGCACCATACATCATCGGGGGATGATGGAGCTGCTGTTTCCCCCCCCCTCTCCCTTTCCTGAGCCCAAATACCTCCTCGAAGGCAGGTCATATGGTCTCTCCAGTTCTTGTAAGCTGAATGCTTATTTGCACACTGAAGGTCACATGACGTAGGCCCAAGAGGGCTCCAGGAAGCCCACACGAGTGACTGCTTGACATAACAAAAGGGCCTTTTCTTCGATGTCTCCATCTTTCTCTCCTGAAGCAGGATTCCTGCTCAGATGAGAAAGGCCTCGCTCACGACGTCCCCCTGAACTCCCTTTAGGATCACCCTGCCAGGAAGTCAGCAATTAGCTTGTCTTGCATTAGAAGAGATGACATCATTCAGTCTGTTGTGATATGGAATTATGGGAAATAGAGTAGAAGAATGACCATCTCGTGTGATTGACCCCATAAAACACGTGATCCCCTGCTGGACACCTTCTATCATCAGACAAAACATGATTCAACTTTCCTGCTTATTTCAGTCGTTAGATTTACTGATATGGCAGTTGCCTGTCAGAATTAAAAATGCTGTGAAGCAATTATACTGCATTCTAATGTGTTTTAATATGCCTCCATATTCCCACTATTTATCCAGTACAGTATTGCTGGGGGGCCTGGAGTCTAGCCCAGGCTGCATTTTTAATGAAAAATATAATTTACATAAAGAAAGTACACCCTGTACCGTAGTTTCCTCCCCCTATCCAAAAGCTGTCTGAACTGGCTACTCTCTAAACCGCACGTAGATTGTGTGCATGAGTGTGTGCATGAGTGTGTGCCCCGTGATGGACTGGAATTCCCATCCAGGTTATCATATCTATTGTTTGCTCTGCTGCCTGGGATTGGCTCCAAGAGCCTCCGCAACCCTGCGCTGGGTAAGTGCTTGCAAGACAGAGTAGCCTCCTAGCTTACCAGGAAGGTTTTATTTAATTAATACTTAAATTTAATTGTATTTTCTTTCAGTACATTATATACTCCAATAATACACTTTTAAAATGAAAGTTTTTACCCTTGCAATAATTTTTTATTGTTTTGGGGTGAGTTTCCCGAAGCGTTCTTAACGCTACGTCGTTCTTAAGTTCTGTGTTAAAAGATAGAACTAATGAACGACGTAGCGTTAAGAAGGCTTCGGGAAACTCACCCTTGATTTGTTTGCTGTTTCATTGCAGATTTTTTTGTGTTCATTTCTTTTTTTTTTTTTTTTTACTGTCTTACATTTTCTATGGCACTATGTGACCAAACCATCACTCCAAGCCCTCAACATCCCTGATCAAGAAAAGTGGTTGGTAGATGGATGGATTATTTGACTGCACTAGAATATATGGAGTTACTCAGAATGTAACATTACATACTTAGTGGTGGAGCGCCACGCCTGGATTGACGTAATGCCTTTCGCACCCTCAGCTGTCCCAGCTGATTGTGAATGCTGGAGGCGTGGCCACCGTCATCGACAGCGTTGGCGAATCACAGGGCAACGTGAGGTTGCCGGGGATCATGATGCTGGGCTATGTGGCGGCGCACTCCGAGAACCTGGCTATGGCCGTCATCGTCTCTAAGGTTCGTCGCGTAGCTAAATACCCGGTGTTTGTTTATATGTATACATTCTATGAAGCTTATGTTGTATAATGTCTATTCTCGATTTTTTTATTATTTTTTTTTATTTGAATGACATCACTGTCACACCCCCCTTTGTGCTAAACATATGATGATGTCATACACAAGTCCAGATGATTATACCTGGAAAGGAAATGGTTTTAACATATTAGCTAATCACATTGAAAAACTGAAGCCGCTGCTATGGATTATTCTGGCAACAATTTTCCAAACACACATGCAAGCTATGAAAAGTCTATTTTCGATATGAATAATGAAACAAGAACACTTTAAATTGGCCTGTGTGAGTTTGCAAATGATGTTACTAGACCAGCCCATAGTAGTGGCTTCAATTTTTGAATACAATTAGCCACTAAAACAGAATTTAAATAACACAGTGAAGATGATCAAAGTGTGTTGGCCACAATGGGCTTGTGGACCTATTGCTTCATAAATCAAAAGTTATTCAAAGTCTAAATGCAGTTTTTTTAACACATTGATGAAGATGGAGGGAGATGGACAGAGAACTCCAACTACATCTCCTCTCTAGAGTTTTCCCTTTGAAGAACTGAAACAGGTGTCTAAACTGTCATGGTTACCAATCCTGATCATTCATAGATGAAATGGGAAAGACATTCATACCTTATGGGTTTTGGCTGAGCTTCAAGGCTCAAGCATGAACTTCTTAAGATATAAAAATTTCTGGATTTGAGTTGTCTGGTGTCTGTCGGTTCATTGAAAGGTCTAATTATGACCACTAACGTCCAAACTTTTGAGTGATAAACGTCCTCAATCTGTCTGCACATATAATTTGAATTTTATTAGCCTTG